GAACCCGTCGCTGGAGGGGGGCATCGATGGCTCAGAGGCAGCCACGGGAGGGAACGCGCTCGAGACTGCAGGCGCTGCGTGGAGATGGAGCGCGTGACATCAGCTCGTGTGCCGGTGCTGGCTGGACGATGTATGTTATATGTGGAACTTCTTTCGCACCGTGCGTAGCCAACCGCGCTAGTCGGAGGTGCTGGGGGAGGAAAACAAACTGAACGGTAGAAAGCTGTTCAAAATTTTTTTTAAAATATAGATTTTTTTAAATCAATGAGAGATCAGTTCACTTGCAGCAGTGAGATGGATCGTTCCATCGCGGTGTGGGGTGGTCTCTATCCAGCAGTGGGTAGAACATGGCTGATGATGATTCGTAATATTTCTTCAGATTTTTTCGTACGGCTGCTGCTGTAGATGGAGAGCAACAGCTACAATGTCACACGCACGTCGCCAAGCCCAGGCAGGTAACCAGCGGGGTCGTTCATCATCGCGGTGATGTCCACTTCGTAGCTGTGGATCGGGCATTGCGTCATTTACACGTCGTATGGTGTCTGTTCTGGATGAGCGCACACGACGACTGTAGAGTTTTTACGTCTCTACGAGCGAGTCAGATATCCGCATCTGCTGCCATGGCTCGTGCAGTGGATGCGATTCAGTGTGGACCACGAGCTTCTTGGAAGATCGTAATTTTGATGGATTGTCATGAAGATTGGTTTAACACGTAGCAGGCTTTCGCGACCAGTATTATTCGTAATGACGTTTTTTGGGTTAAATCGCGTAAGTATAAATGTGTCGCTACCCTCCACCACCCGACACGGCCAATCAGTAAAAAAATGTGTCACGTTAACAAAACGCGAATTAGTTACTTAGCGCAGCCTGGAAGCGTATTATGAAGTAATACAAAAAAACATTACAATTCCTTATAGAGGAATCACATACTGATTAACTGATTGCTAATCGATTATATAATTACAATATCCCCCACCTCCGCCTCTGATCTCGAAACCTGATGGGGTTCAATGATGACGTCATCCTGCTGCTCTATTTAACACCGGAAGCAGGTGGATGGCTTCACTGTTCTGGCAAATCGCCCGAAGATGCTGGATGCAATTACCAGCGAAACGTCGGACTACTCAAATTCTAAATGTTGTGGATTCACTCTTCAAACACACCGGTGGGCTGAAGAAGTAACTAAGTGGCGTTTTGTCAACGTGACACATTTTTTACCGATTGGCCGATTGGCCGTGTCGGGTGGTGGAGGGTTGCGACGCATTTATACTTACGCGATATAACCCAAAAACATTTATTATGTGATGAAAATAATTTATCGATTTACAAATTATTGATAATGAAGGTGACGAGTATGTTTGATGATGATGATGATCCAGCGTTTGGCTTGCTCAATAAAAATGACAGATGCTTCTTCGCTCGCAAAACTGGAATTTGTCAACAGTCTCAAGAGGTCAAATAGCTTCAAGTTCGCCTTCGCACTTCACGATTTGGCGTCGCTCAGACCACAACGTTGCACAATGGGGGTTGTGAGATCTGTGGGTTGGTTAGCGAAGGGGTGTTACATCTGATACGGTGACGTCGAAATGCGAGCCCCCACTCCCCCAAGCGCGGGGCCCGGGGCAGTCACCCCCAATTCGCCGTGCACCCTACGGACGGCTCTGAACACACCCCTCACCCTTTATCTTCCTCCCCCCTTCCATCTTGAACACCCCCCCCCCTCCTGTGTGACCCCCCACGAGTTTAAATATAAGTAAGTCCGACCTTGTAAATTCCCAATAATAGATTCCAATGCCAACACAACTCATGATAAAATAGATTTTTATTTTTATTTCACGAGGCAAGGCCCCACTGAGTGAACTACGTAGCTCTTATTCAGCAGCGAACTGGCCACAAATGATCGCCTAAACGAAGTTGGTTTATCGCGTGGAAATTTATAGCAGCCGAATACCCTAAAGGCGCGATGTTGACTCTCAATGTGGAGGGAAAAACCGGAGGACCCGGAGAAAAATCGACGCGACCACGGGGGGAGAGAGACGCACGCAAATTTCACAAACACGGGCGAGTAACGATAACTATTGTTGTAAATGAACCATATTTTTGGAGAAAGAAAGTAATCAAGGAGATTTGCTAACAACAACAAAAACTAAACGGTACAACCGTGAAAACCTACACAGTAGTAAAAAAATAATAATAATCACTTTTTATAACAAAATAATCTTCAACCCAGGTGGAGGATTTGCTGAACTAACCGTTCCGTGTGGGGGGGGGGGGGGGACCCCCCTAAGTTCGGTGGCATAGAATTCGCAGCTGTTTCGTTACTGCCACCGCTCTCTGCGCTGAGTCACTTCACCAGGTGGAGCACCGCACGGACACGGCGGCCAGTGATGACGGTGACGATGAGTCACCGTGGCAGATTTGGCAATGCCAACATCAACACGAGAAGCGACGGCTTGGGCAGAGTATTGGGACGAGGCTATATGGGTTGGATAGGAGACGCGAAGAAGAAGACCATCGTAGCAGCAGCAGCACCAGTCTCGTAGCAACGCTCTCAATATTTAGCCCAAGTCAACGTCGCCTCGCCTTCCTGGCCCAAACGAGTCTCGTCTGGCGGTGGCACTTCCACATTGCTATGGCGGGGTCAGTATATACACACACACACACGTATGTACGCTGAACTCTTTTCGTGCCGTGCGTAGCCGACCGCGCTAATCGCAGGCGCAATTGGACCCGCCTGTTTCGTCCATTTGTTGGCAGCAAATGCTCTCGGAAATGTTGAATTCACAAATCGCTGTCACCCGTCACGTGCGCTCCGCAGACTCCATGAGGTTCGAATTCATCTCAGACCTCTTGGCAGGCATCCGATCGGGTATTGACGTTTAGCTCCATTAAGGCGCGATGCTTATTGCGATGTCCATCGCTTCTTGGGCTCTCTCAGCACAGAACTATTCTCTTGCTATCTCGCCTGTACTTTGCGTTTTCCAGAAATCACGGGAGTTTGCCCAACACTTTTGGTCACATATTGATCGGAAAATGTGCGCACTTATTGGGGATGATATCCACGCTGCTATTTAACAAACAAACAAACAAACCCGTGCCTCGAGTTTTCTGGCTGGCTATCGGCTGCGCCACCTCTCCACCCCGACGATGACCTCTGTTGTTGTGAGTGGCTGCTGCGGGCTCTTGTCACAGAAACTAGCTGGGTAACTGGCTGCACGGGATTTCCCGTGTAACAAATAAACATTGCGCCGACTTCAAACGGTGCAAGGAGCTCGGGAGTAGATGGACAATGACGAGAGTTGTGCGGACAACGAAGACAGAAGACCGGCCGCGGTGCATTTGAAATCATCCTCAGTAACAGCGAAGGGGAGTTCACCCAGATCTGGGGCCCCCTCGTGAACGCCACCCCAGAGACCCTGAGTTTACTTGACTGAACTTGAAATGAAACTCCCCCCCCCCTTCCTTCCCCGAATAAAAAGGATGCATCGCGCACCACAGAACGCTACGATCCTGGACGTTCTCGTTGGTTGCCTGTCCGAGCCGCGTAACCCGCTATGCACCACCCGCCTATCGCGGAAGTTGGACACCCCCCCCCCCACCCCGTGGAATGGATCAATAAAAATTATTTACAAAATTTACAAAATATTCTTGAAATCCGAAAGAAATATTGACGTTGTTATTAAACCCACATCACAATACATATTATCTTCACATTTTATTATTACATTTACAAAGATGATTACTGTACCATGTGTGTATGTATGTAGAACTTCTTTCGCACCGTACATTGCCAACCGTGCTTGTCGGAGGTGCGGGGACAGCACCCTGGGTACAGGGGGGTTGTGGGAAGAGCCACGAGCAATGACAGCCGTCTCTCATTACGAATTCTCTCCTCGCCCCAATATTAGGAATGATCCCAGGGTTACCTCTTCATTATATTCTACAGGATCGGCCTCCGATACTCATCTGTGAGCATCCGCCTGCAACGTCTGTCGCCTAGGCTCGTAGTTTGCCCATTTTTGATGACCCAGGTAAGGTCCCGTATAAAGAGAAAATAATACTAGTAGTATACTTAGAAATGTAATGTAATGTTGACTGTTATGTTATCCGACTCTCTGTTGTATTACATTACATTTCTAAGTATACTAGATTTGTGTTTCTATTTCATTTATACCTGATAATGATTGCTTGTGTTGCAATCGAAACGTCGTATGCTAGTATTTAATTTATTATTTTCTCTTCATACGTGACTTTACCGAAAAAACCAAAGAGTAATTCCTGCAGTCACGAAAGCTCCAAATTAAGTATGACCCAGCCTCTTCACGTTCTCATCCAGTTGCGAAAATAACCTCGACTTGTATGGATCGTTTGATTGATCGAGATGATCTATCGTAAAAGGTTCGCCGCTATAACGTGCTACTTTCACTTTGCTTCGTACGTACGGTACGAATGTTGACCTTTTTTAGTCGCGCCGCGCTAATCCGAGGTGCTTTCTGCCGTGAGCACGACTCCGCGTTGTGTTGTGTGTGCGCGTGTGCTTGCGTGCGTGCGCGTGTGCATGCGTGCGTGTCGTGCGTGTGTGCGTGTGTGTCGTGCGTGCGTGTGTGCGTGCGTGTGTGCGTGTGTGTCGTGCGTGCGTGCGTGTCGTGCGTGCGTGTGTGCGTGCGTGCGTGTGTGTCGTGCGTGCGTGTGTGCGTGTGTATTCGCGTTGTCGCACGGCGGTCGCAAAGGCAACGCACACAATCAGTATTCGCGAGATACCACGTGAAATGCGTGGGGGGGGGGGATAAACAATCGTCGCTGTTTCAACCTACTCAGGACCACGTGGAACGTCGAGGCAACGTTGGTCCAACGGTTCCAACCACATGCCAACGTTGTCATGTTTTCCCCAAACCCTTGCATGTTTCGGTGGTATATAGTCTCTTTGGGTACCATTTGTTTATGGAACACCGCAGTGTCTCTTGGGTACACTGTGGTTTTTGATTACCCCAACCCTTTCCTTTTTCCTATGTGACAACAACGCCCCCCTGAGGTGGAACAACGTTGGCTAAGGACGTTGGTTAACCACGTTGGCTAACCACGTTGGCTAACATCCTTTCTGCTCGCATCTCCCGGGTCTTCACGGCACCCAGGCCTGGTCTCCGCTTCTCCCTTTGGCCATGATACCGATTATAACCCTAAAGTTGACCCTGTTCTCTCCAGTAAACATGAAAAGTGGTCCAACGTTGCTCCAATGTTGTTGCAACTTCGGTGGAACATTGCTGCAACATTGGTCCAACGTATCCAACCACCGCAACGTGTCCATGTAAACCGGCGTATTACAGGGACTCCTCTACTTACGAACGGGTTAAGTCCCAGAGGTACTGTTCGTATGAGTTGATTTGTCACGAGAAAAACTTTACTCCTGTCGATTCCAAACATGTTGTACGGCGTGCACACGAAACACGGCTTTAAAAGTTGTATATTCTCCTGTAGATGTAGATGCCATTGGTTCTTCACGTTCTGCAGATGTAGATGCCACTGGTTCTTTGCGTTCTGCAGATGTAGATGCAGCTGGTTCTTCATATTCTGCAGAAGTAGATGCCACTGGTTCTTCACGTTCTGTAGCTGTAGATGCCACTGGTTCTTCATGTTCTGCATATGTAAATGCCGCTGGTTATTCATGTTCTGCAGATGTAGATGTCACTGGTTCTTCACGTTCTGCAGATGTAGATGCCGCTGGTTATTCATGTTCTGTCGATGTAGATGTCACTGGTTGTTCACGTTCTGCAGGTGTTGATGCCGCTGGTTCTTCACGTTCTGCAGATGTAGATGCCGCTGATTCTTCATGTTCTGCAGATGTAGATGCCACTGGTTCTTCACGTTCTACAGATGTAGATGACGCTGGCTCTTCATGTTCTGCAGATGTAGATGTCGCTGGTTCTTTATGTTCTGCAGATTTAGATGCCACTGCTTCTTCACGTTCTACAGATGTAGATGCCGCTTGCTCTTCATGTTCTGCAGATGTAGATGTCGCTGGTTCTTCATGTTCTGCAGATTTAGATGCCACTGCTTCTTCACGTTCTTGCAGATCTAAATGTCACTGGTTCTTCATGTTCTACATACAGTATTTAGATACCACTGGTTTCTTCACGTTCTATAGATGTAGATGCCGCTGTCTTTTCACGTTCTGCAAATGTAGATGCCGCTGGTTCTTCATGTTCTGCAGATGTAGATGCCACTGGTTCTTCATTTTCTGCATATTTAGATGCCGCTGATTCTGCAAGTTCTGCAGAGGCAGATTCCACTAAGTAGATGCCACTGGTTCTTCATTTTCTGTAGATGTCGATGCCGCTGGTTCTTCAACATCTGCAGGTGTAGATGCCACTGGTTCTTCATGTTCTGCAGATGCTACTGGTTCTTCATGTTATGCAGATGTAGATGCCACTGGTTCTTCACGTTCTGCAGATGCCACTGGTTCTTCACGTTCTACAGATGTAGATGCCACTGGTTCTTCACATTCTACAGATGTAGATGCCACTGGTTCTTCACGTTCTGCAGATGTAGATGCCACTGGTTCTTAATTTTCTACAGATGTAGATGCCACTGGTTCTTCACGTTCTGCAGATGTAGATGCCACTGGTTTTTCACGTTCTGCAGATGTAGATGCCACTGGTTCTTCACGTTCTGCAGATGTAGATGCCACCACCGCCATCTATTGCACGGCAGTTGAACTTACGACTCTCGGTCCTCACAGGCAACTGGACATTTGGACCAGGTTTGTTCATATCTCTGAAAATTCGTAAGTCAAATGTTGATAAGTAGAAGAGTCTCTCGATACCTCAAATCATAACCCTAAACCGTAACATTGTTTTTATCATCACCACCATCATGGCCGCCACCACCACCTCAATAATCCTCAATCATGGTGTGTGTCATCATCATTGTCACTATCACCACTACCACCGTCATCATCATTATCACGACCATCGTCATTTTTATCAACGTCACTATCACCATGACCACCGTAATCATCATCATCACTACCATCATCATCAATCATCATCACCACTAATTGCAGCAGCAATCCTTCATATCATTCAGTAGAAGCGAGCTTGTCAAACAAACAACACCCAGGGGTGTCGATTTGATATGAAAACAAATGGAATTCTCGTGGCGCAGATCCCTCAAGGTGGCCACCCCTAAACCCGTTCCTCCTGCACCAAGGCAACCCGCGTCCCGTCAACGCGGCCGCCCTCCGCATTACCATTGGAGTCACTGCTGATGTTGGTGCTGATCACGTCGGTGCTGACCATGGCGATGTCGACGAGGTCCCGCGACTGCGCCGTGTGTCCGCTCCTGCTGTCCTGCCCCGAATCCAACGGCTCGTGGTCTCTGAACGCGTTCTCGATGGCGGCGACGAGCGAGCGCCTGAAACGGGCTTTGAGATCCGAGCCGCTGAACACGTAGAGGATCGGGTTGATGCAGCTGTTGATGAACGCGAATCCCCAGATCACGGGGTCTGCCCATTCTGCCGCCGTCAACAAGCTCTCGTCGTCCTGAACGTAGGAGGCGGCCTCCATCAGTCCGATGGCGTGGTACGGCGCCCAGCAGACGGAGAACGCCACCACCACGACCACGATGATTCTGAGCGAGTTGCCGCGACGCGTCTTGTCTACGCGCCGCAGCCTCGCCCCGATGCGACAGTAGCAGAAGATCATGACGGCGTACGGAACGGCGAAGCTCGCCACGAAGGAAATCCCGATGGCGGTCAGCATGTGCCGCGTGTGCTCGTGGACATCGTCGCTGTAACCGCTGCAGCAGTAGACGAGGCCTTCGTCCGACGCGTCCAGGTTGGAGAAGATGAGAGGCGGCAGACTCAGCAGCAGGGCGAGGAGCCACACGGCCAGGCAGAGCCGCCGGGCCACGCGCAGATGACGCAGGGGCAGCGAGGACACGGGGTGCAGCAGAGCGGCGTAGCGGTCGACGCTGATGAGCGTCAGGAAGTAGACGCTGGCGTTCTTGTTCACGGCAAGGGTGAACCACACGAGTTTGCACGCGACCGCCCCAAGCACCCACTGCGCTTCCATGTAGACGGTGACAATGACCAGGGGGATCTGCAGGACCAAGATGAAGTCGGCGATGGACAGGTGCAAGAAGAAGAGGGTCACCACCGTGCGCTTCATCTTGAAGCCCAGGATCCAGATGACCAAGAAGTTGCCGATGCTGCCCAGGACGAAGACGATGGTCAAGATGGTTATGGCCGCGTATATTAAGGTGGCAGTGCTGGTGGAGGTTTCCGGCGTCTTGTCTGTGCTTTTGGAGAGCCGGGTCACGATGGTTTGGGAGGTGTTCCAGGCGACGTAGTTCCAGACAGTGGTCGTGTTGAACTGCAGTGTCGGGGAGAAAGAGGAGCTCGGGAGATGGGTGGTTGTGGCCATCCTGATGGGATGAGCGATTGTGTGGTGCTCTGCAGGAAGACATTAACAACATCATCATCAATCATAGCAATCACCAGACAGATGCAGAACTTTGAGTCAGATCATTCTCATCATTAGTATTTTCTTCATCTCAATGTACCCGTACAGCCCTTTTGTCAAACCACGGCTGAATGCGGGGACCTGCCCATGTGCTTGCTGGTCGTGGCGGGTCTTGCCACCATACTTCACCAAGCTGGTCAATGTGGGTTGGTGACTATGGTGAGCATAGATGTGGAAGCTTAGAAATTGAGCACTGTGCACAAACTATGGACTGGACTACGTTGCATTGCCCTCCGTTGCCCGCCGGGTGATAACCTAGGTCGGTCATTTTGAAACTGTGGTAAGCGTAACTCCGGGGGGTACGCGAGCTCTCGTTGCGGTGGTACAGCGATAAAAAATCGTGTAATGGTGGAACAATAATATATTTGTTATTGTGCTTTGTGCCTTTGAAAATAAAATACACATACTACCATCATTGGTTCTGCTCCGCCATTTTGTTCAAACACCAAGACGAGCTCTTAATGTGTCCTTTTGAAACTTGAATGTATGTACTTTATCTATCTTTATTTAACGGGCGCCACTGTGGCGTGATGTTATCTTCCTTGCCTGGTATGCAGAAGGTCGTCGGTTTGATCCTGACGATGACGCCTGGTGTACATTTGGAGTTTGCATGTTCTCTCTTTCCCCGTGGTTGCGTGGATTTTTTTCTCTCTGGGTCCTCCAATTTCTCCCTCCCGCTTAGAATTAACATGGGTTCAGATTATTTGGCTGCTATAAATTTCCACGTAAGGTAGCTACTGAAAAAGAGCGATATAGCTCAGTGGGGCTCACATCGTAAAATCAAAACGTGCAAATAAACTCAGGTCGCCGATAGGTTATATAGCACGATGTGTTAACCGCTGCACCACCGCTCCCACCTCCCATGGTATTCTCACGCGTATTCCCGTAAAATAGTGCACATATGGTGACAAACTAATAGCTACAAGGTGCTTAAAAAATGTGTTAACCCTTATATGGGATTATCATTTATAATGGGAAACGAACGGATAATACACTGTAACATGATGACAAATGTAATGTTAATAGCTTCAAAAAGTCAAAACGTCTCCAATTGTTCGCCATCATTGTCAACAGATGCCTGGAATTTTCTCCAGGTGGTCTCCAGAGCCCAGAGGCACATTACTTGTGGTATTGTTGCAAATTCTCAGAAGTGTTGACATTCTTTTTAAGCACACTGTATTATGAGTCAAGAATTAGATGCATCCTTGAATAGACCACAGTAGATTCCTACGGTCACGATACGTGCATTGCAGAGAATTGTTTGCGCACTGCGCCACCAATGAAGCCGCCTGTGTTGTATCTTGGGCCACGGCTGCAATACGTGGCATCTGAACCTGTTCTGGCCTCCAACACCCCCCCCTCCTCCCCTTAATTTTCACTAAGCCACACTGACCAGTGCGGTTAAGTATAGGTCAACCAATCTCTGTGACCGACAAGGCATGTCAAGGCCACCATCTACAGCAGTGGATTGACAAAACATGTGTTATTTATTATTGCTGTTGTTATTATGATGATGTTGCATGTGTATATGCTACTCGACTGAAACTTACCAGTCCGTGAATCCTCTCCCTTCTTCTCTCTCTGTCTCTGTCGGGCACTCACTCCGTCTCGACCCAGATCGCTCCCACTTCTTCTCTTCTCCGTCACGAGGTTCCCCCCTTTCCTCTCTTCCACTTCCCGTGTTTCCGTCACCAAACCCCAACATCACAGTCACCCCCATCCACCCACCCCCGCCTCTGCCTCTGTTACCGCAACGGATGCCTGCAACCACTCGGCTGTTTTGACAAATCCTGAGATGATGTTACAATTGTAGTCGATGATGACGGGGGTAGCAATGTGTTCAGAAGCTAATTGCCAATTTTGAGGTCTGCCAGTCAGGACGAGAGAGACAGTGCAGTTAGAAATAAATTAGATAATAAAAGCACGCTTTTCAATGCACACACTTTTATTTGCACTCAAAAGTAGAAAACAATTTTTTTATGCCCAGAATTAATCAAATTTGATGTGCTGAATAAAAGTGGGTGGCTTGCATACTGTATAGAAAATTAAACATTTTGAGCGGATACTCTTTGGTTCTTTCGGTAAAGTCGATCGAAACGTCGTGATTTATTTTATTTTATATCTACGTGACTTTACCCAGAACCAAAGAGTATAGATTCCTGCAGTCACGAAAGCTTCAAATCAAGATTTATATCGAGAGGAAACGCCTCCTTTTATTCAGCACATTACATTTTTATCAATTCTGGGGTGCAAATAAAAGTGTGTGCATTGAAAAACTTGCTTTTTACCATGTTAATCTTGTAAAACTAATATATGCATGTACATTTTGATCCTAAGGCGGAGGATAGGGCAGCATGGAGAAGGTTGGCAAGGCCAGTGGACCCCCCGTGAGTGGGACAGACACGTGGAAGAAGAAGACCTCAATCCAGACAAGAACAATAGTTCATTATTGTCTGGATAATTAAAATATATTTTAAATAGTGCAATAAAAACATTAAGCAAAAAACACGAAAAGGCCCAGGATTGGCATGACCTGGACCAGTTCTTTAAATGAAATCTTGAATTGGCACGCGAGACGATGAGTCTGTGTACAACATTTCAGCTCGTTAGGCTCCGCAGATCCGAAGATATTAAGCGTCAATGATTTGAAAGAATATAAACAGACCACAGGGGAAGTTAAATAAAAGTGTGTATATAATAATAACATTGCTCCTGTTTACGACATGAGAAATAAGGACGATGTTGTTGAAGTTGCAAAATAAAGTTAGATGCACTTAAAAAAATGTTTTAAAGGATCGCAGCGGGAAACGAGTTATTATCGTCAGATAAGTATCATATCATTAAGTTAATTACTCAACTGCACTAAATATACTGACGATCGTTAAAGTAAATAGCCTTGCGCAGGGCACGTCGTGGATAGAAGGGATGGAGGCCGATGGTCGAGCGACGGAGTGGCGGCACAAAGAGTGAGAGGCTGAGCGATGAGCCCCAAGTTCTCCAACTCCACGTGTCACGCTCTATCTTCCTGTTATTCATCCTTGTGTCACAGCAGTGATTATTCGGGCATTAATATATAGAGAGTCTCTTCGATAACGAGGAAGTTGCGTTCTTGAACAACACCGCTTTATGGGAAAATCGCGCTATAATGAATAATGTATGGGTAAAGCACAGTCCGCGGTAACACGTGAGATGCGTACGCAGGCTGAACGAAGACTGAGTGAGTAGCATCTTGAAGCATCCAGCAGCATCCCAATGCCGTGTGTGATGCTACACCGAGGCAGCCGTACAACCGCTTATTCCTACCCGCGCTGCGACGTGGTTCTGTTCATTCGATCGCGTTGAATAAAATTCGCATCCGCATTATAAATACTGTGTTCACTCATACATTCATCGCATTATATCCAATTCGCCTTATGAAAAGAACACCGGGCGTTCTCGGAGAACAGGACTGGACTTCTGAGGACAAACGCATTTCGGAGTATTATAGAATCCATGCGTATGCGTGATTTTTCTTCTTTGTTTACACTGCCGATGACCGACTACCTCTACGAAATAAACATGGCCATTATTTCTGTACAACGTTTTGAATGTAGATGCCACATGGACACAACTTGTATTTAATTGTCGCTGCCATCACCATCATCAGCCATGCCCAATCCACTGCTGCCTGCCACGTGCTTAATGTGCAGGGTAAATTTATATCTCGGAAAACAGAGGATGGCAGAGGGAGATTATAATATTGACGGTCGTTTTTTTATACTGCCAGTAACGCCTATGGAATAATACTTGTGTAGAAAATGTACAATCTAAGGATTGCCACTTCATATCCCAGAGTGGAATAGCAGGGGGTCCTTCATCCTAAATGGGCGGTGAACTTTGATGTTATAGCAATTGCAGGGCTGCGCCTTTACCAAGGCAAACAAACGAGACGGAACAATACAAACAAGACAGAACAATACAAACGAGACAGAACAATACAAAGGGGACAGACAATACAAAGGAGACAGACAATACAAAGGAGACAGACAATACAAACGAGACAGAACAATACAAAGGAGACAGACAATACAAACAAGTTAGACAATACACACGAGGCAGAACAATATAAACGGGACAGAGACAGAACAATGCAAACGAGGCAGAACAATACAAAGGAGACGGACAATGCAAACGAGGCAGAACAATACAAACGGGACAGAGACAGAACAATGCAAACGAGGCAGAACAATACAAAGGAGACAGACAATGCAAACGAGGCAGAACAATACAAAGGAGACAGACAATACAAACGAGGCAGAACAATACAAACAAGACAGAATAATACAAATGAAACAGACACTACGAACGAGGCGGAACAATACGAACAAGTTAGACATTACAGACGAGACAGAACAATATAAACGAGACAGAACAATACAAACGAGGCAGAACAATACGAACAAGTTAGACAACACAAACTATTTATTGAAAAATGTTGGACGGGTTAGATTGCCTAAATATAAATGTGTCGTGAACCCACCGCCACCCGTCACGTGAACGAAACGTGTCAATCAGCTATTACGTCAGCACCTCGGTGTGATGGCGATGGGAACGTGAGAGAGGTCTTAATGGGCAGCTTCGCACGCACAAAAGCTGGAACTTGTCAACAAACTCTGATTCAAATCCGCCAACTTCCCTTTTGTGATTTCCACTCCGTGCCGCTCGGGAAACACAAGACTGTAGTTTCGCAATTAGTATCTTGAATGTGTTTTTGGTGGGGGGGGGGGGATTTTGGTAAATAAATTACGCGTCTTTCAGAGCGATGCCAATTCCGCAACGAGTTGGAGATCCCGCGTTGGTGCACTGCGTGGAATGCTTAATAACAGTGGAAGAAGAATAAAATCTTCATATTTTCATACACGGGCTCATCGTGATTCGTTTGTTATATCTCGGATCGCGTGAAGGCGTTTAGGTCATAGAGAGATCTGCGGAGCCTTCGCCGCACCGTGTTGGAGTGGGAATTGCCGATGGAATTATTTTTCTTCAGCAAAACCGGTTATATCGCGTTAACACGTCGTAGGCTTTCGCGACCAGTATCATCCATAATACAGTTTTTTTTGGGTTAGATCGCGTAAATATAAATGTGTTGTTAAACCCGCCACCACCCGACACAGCCAATAAGTAAGATTGTAAATGTTGTGGATTTGCGCTCCAACACGCCGGTGTGCTGCACTAGTAACGAATTGGCACGTTCTGTTTACGTGACAACCCTTACTCTGCCTATGAAATACTATATCGCTCGTGGGTAAACTATTAATGTTGGGTAACTTGTCATGATGTATGTATGTTGAACTTATTTAGCACCGTAGATAGCCATCCGTGGGATATTATGCATTATTCCATGGCTGTCGGGTACACTTATTTTTGAGCGGCCAGTGATGTTTTGGTACGCCCTATGCATCCAGGGTACCCTGCTTGTGAAACACCCTGTCTCCCGGTGTACGTTGTGATTTCTGGGTACCCTGTGTATCTAGCGAACTCTTGTTTATAAAATACGACGTGTTTTTAAATAACGATGGGTTTTTTTGTACACGATAGGTGTTTTGTGTACCCGATGTTTTTTGGGTACATGGTGGTTTTTGAATACACGATGGGGTTTTTGGGGTACACGATGTGGTTTTTGGGGTACACGATGGGTTTTTTTGGGGGTACACGATTGTTTTTTTGGGGTACACGATGTGGTTTTTTGGGGTACACGATGGGTTTTTTTGGGGTACACGATGGGTTTTTTTGGGGTACACGATTGTTTTTTTGGGTACACGATGGGTTTTTTGGGGTACCCGATGGGTTTTTGGGGTACACGATGGGTTTTTTTGGGGTACACGATGGGTTTTTTTGGGGTACACGATGGGTTTTTTGGGGGGTACTCGATGGGTTTTTTGGGTACACAATGGGGTTTTTTTGGGTAGACGTTGTTTTTTGGGGGATACACGATGGGTTTTGTAGGGTAATGATGAGTTGTTTTGGGGTACACGATGGGTTTTGTAGGGTAATGATGAGTTGTTTTTGGGGTACACGATGGGTTTTGTAGGGTAATGATGAGTTGTTTTTGGGGTACACGATGGGTTTTGTAGGGTAAAGATGAGTTGTTTTGGGGTACACGATGGGTTTTGTAGGGTAATGATGAGTTGTTTTGGGATACACGATGGGTTTTGTAGGGTAATGATGAGTTGTTTTGGGGTACACGATGGGTTTTGTAGGGTAATGATGAGTTGTTTTTGGGGTACACGATGGGTTTTGTAGGGTAATGATGAGTTGTTTTGGGGTACACGATGGGTTTTGTAGGGTAATGATGAGTTGTTTTGGGGTACACGATGGGTTTTGTAGGGTAATGATGAGTTGTTTTTGGGGTACACGATGGGTTTTGTAGGGTAATGATGAGTTGTTTTGGGATACACGATGGGTTTTGTAGGGTAATGATGAGTTGTTTTGGGGTACACGATGGGTTTTGTAGGGTAATGATGAGTTGTTTTTTGGGTACACGATGGGTTTTGTAGGGTAATGATGAGTTGTTTTTGGGGTACCCAATGCCTCTCCCCGCGTTACCACTACGCCCCCACGAGGTGGCCGCCTGCGTCGACTCCCCTCCTTGCCGCGCCTCCACCGGGGAGAGCTTCCCAGCACCCAGACCTCGACCCCCTTCTC